GATGTTAAGCCACCCGTAAAGTTTAGGTGTGTAAATGATTTTTCCGGACAAATTTAAATGAATGCCATTTAGACCAGTTCTCTTTTACTTATTGGGAAACAACATGACTTTGGCTTTGGAATCATTAGTTTGTATGATTTGGAAGAAATATTTTTTGAATTACTTATTATTTCGTTATATATATATGTTATTTGAAAAAGAATATCCTGAAAGTATAAAAATAACTACTGAAGTTCTAAAAATAAACCTAACAAAAGGTTTAAAAAAATTAAGGAATTGAACAACCTAAAAATTTATGGAGTAGATTATACGAAGTTAATTGCCATAGAGTTAAAACTTGGTCGACATATTCATATTTTATATCTTTAAGAAACTAAAATATTCTTTCAGCATTACTAAGAAAACATGAAATTTTGATCGGTTTTTTTTTATTTATTTTTCGTAAGCACATTTCATGCTGGATAAAATCAAATCATAATTAATAATTTATTTTAAGTAGAATTAAAATTTGGGCTCTTGAGGAGTTCTTTGGGTAGAACTTTTTCCTTTATTGAGTTAGTTAAATAGGATCAACATTCATTAATTTTTATGATCTTACATTTAATTTTTAATATATAATTCAAATACTATTTTTAAAATAATTTTTACATTATTTTAATATTTATATGGCTTTTATAAAGTTTAACCCACTTACATAAGCGACATACACAACACACATATCCTGAGACTAGTTTATATAAAAAATTCCTACAAGTGTTATTTTATTCCTCGATCTTCACCGTCCCTTTTCCCTTCCTTCGTCAGATTGTAATATTAAAAACTTTTTAATTCTAAGAGAAAAAATTTATAATCCTATTTTAAAAAGAATTCCAGTACCAAACACTTTATTTTCTTTGACTATATTCTCTTAAACATTTCTAAATATTTTTAACTATAAAAATTTATGATTTATAGTAATTTTATGTAGTTTGTAATTATGTAAATTTATTTAAAAGTATATAAAAATGCTATTATTGTTAACTTTTGTTTATTCTCAAATAATTCTGAGAAAAATAAAGAAACCAACTGAATCAATTTTCATGAGACTGTTGTGAAGTATTATAATTATATTAGTGGATGTCTATTGTCACACCTCCTTTTTCTNCACGAGGGTAAAACATTGGGTTTGAACCCGGGTACACCATGATGATAAGAGTTAGGTTTAAGTCCTAGCTCATTATGGCCTAACATGCCTTTATATGGGTAAGGCATTGGATTTGAGTCTCAGTGTACCATATTGATGATATAATGATGATTAAAGAAAAATAATGTATTTTTCATGAAAAGGCATGAGACTTGTCCCACTTGAGTTGCTCCATTCTTGAAGTGAATGTGATAGCGGTGCATATAAGTCCAAATGAAGACAAGTGGTTGACCAATGAATGTGGGCGTGCCAAAGATCAAAATAATAATTGTCATCATTATGGTAATTGTAAAAATGAGAACAATAAGAGTTCTCAAAATAGTTCTTCAAAATGTGAAGGCAATGTTTACCATCAAATTGGTATGAAAAATTAATAAAGTATGTTGTTTATTATGATCCATTCTTAGAGAATGTGACTTGTGATAGGCATTGAGAATGCAGACCCATTTCTGAAGGTGAATGTGGCAATATGTGATAAAAGTAATGAATAAAGACGTGCAATGCATGATTGGATAAATACCACACAACTCACCTCTATGAAGGTTTGAGTGAAATAAAAAGAATGAACATTATTGTGGTTATATGAATATGTCATTGGTTGTGTACATGTGGTACGCCAAAAATATGTTGCCATGCATTATAAAAACTTATTAAAGGCAAACTAAAGAAAGAAATGATTTTGCTTATGATGATTTTGACCATGACAATTATTATGATATAATTTTCTCCGTGAAGAAGACATTCACTATATGGATGGTGTGACAAAAGATCTCGTAGTACAAAATTAGTTAAGAGCTCCGGAAAAGCTTGTTACTACTCAGATAAATAAAATTGTCCATGACATTGATATTGTAGTAAGTCTCAAAAGAAACTTTTTGAGTTTCAAATATAATAACCAAAGTGGTTGGTATTTGAGACTATAAATGAAAGGAAGATTGAATATCTTCATATTACTATAATCATACCGGGTAAATATGAAAGGTTACCCGACTTTTCTTCTATTTGTACTACACATGTATAAGCATAATGATAAAATCACATGCCATAGTAAATTAGATGTTTACTGAAATACGTATCAGTTGGCATGACCGGTTGGCCACCTCGGTTCAATTATGATGCGAAAAATTGATTGAGAATTCACATTGGCATATATTGAAGAAATAGACGATTCTTCAAGAATTCTCATGTGCTGCTTATTCTCATGATATACCAGTTAAGGTTGGGATTAAATCCCTTGATTTCTGGAACGAACAAATAGAAGGTGATATATGGGTTCAGTCACCTGCCATGTGGACTATTTACTATTATATAATTTTAATAGATGCATCTATTGTATGGTCACATGTGCGTTTGTTATCAACTTGCAATTTGGTTTTTGCAAGGTTGTTTGCTCAAATTATTATAGCACAATTCCGGAATATAAATTATGATAATTTATTTTGATAATGCTGGTTTAAATCTAAGTTGGTTTAGCACAAATTGTATGCCTCTAATTATAGCTAAACTATTGATTATGAGAACAAAATTCACAAATAGACATTTTGTATGAGGTGTATTATTTAATATACAACAGCACTTGTACGCATCTAGCCAAGTTATGATAAATTTTCCCCGTCACAATTGGTTCAGAGTCAGGAACCAAATAATTTTCATCTTGAAATATGGATGTGCTATATGATTTAATTGTGATACCACAATGCACAAAGATGGATTCCCAAAGAAGGTTGAAAAATGTGTTGGTAATCCTAACATTAGAGGGAGAAATTGGGCAGCTGAAACAGTGATACATGGAATGAGTTATTGTGAATACATCTAGATCCTCGTACAAGAAAATGTGAACTTATGTGAACTTGAAGTTCAAGTTATAATTCATTTCCAAAATATTGCCAGGAGCATTTGCTGACCCAAAGCTAAATGTCATATTTCAGTTGTTAATGCTCCAAATAGAATAAAGTCCATGATGGACAGAGTTTATGGCACACATGAAGCGTAATAGACAAATCGGTTCCAAAGATAAAACTCCTTGAAGAAGGAGGGAGAAAATGTTCAAGATGGTCATAATAAGGAGGCAAGTGCTTTATAAGAGCACGATGACATAACACTTTATATGACCTCATGGGAGAGGCTCAGGTTCCTGAAAATAATGAGATAAAGAGATCTCAATAAGTTATGTCTTTAATGGGTAACGACGGAACTGATGTAAAATGATCGTCGATGATATTGTTAATATAATGTAGCGCTCAATATTATTAATATTGACAAGGATCTTGAGCTCAAATCTGTCATGAAATTTGGATAGATAATTGATTGGCCAAATAAAAAATATGCAATGAAAATTGACTTCATCTGAAAAATATGAAGTTGGACGGATAGCCACAACAGCTGAAAGTATAAAGGCTATATGGAGATATTGAAATATGATTAGTATTATATTGCAAAAGGAAACCTTGATATAGATTTGTTTATTCTAACAAATATTGTCAAGATTTTGCTAGTTATGCAAATGCAGGCATTTTTTTAAAGTCCGTTCTTTAAACAATCTATTTGTATGTGAGGGTATTGCCATATTATCATTTCACAAGGTTGTCAATTGTTGATAATTATTCAAGTCATGTCAATATACTAGCAACTGATGAAGCAAGTGACTCAACACACTACAGATGTGTGACTTTTCTTTGAAGAGAAGATTCCAATAATAGTGAAAACGTTGATGTTTGCTTATCTCAATTGAAAGAAGGATATATTGAAGGAGACAAAATAAATCCTATATTTCATCAAAGTTCTTTTTCAGACACAATCTTCAACAGAATGATGAAATAGATGTTCAAGAAATTCATTCAAGTGATAATTTGGCGGAATAATTCACCAAGGCATTGCCGGTCTCAAGATTAGAGAAGTTGTTATACAAGCTTGGAATTTTTTGTCTCCGAGAATAAAGTGATATTTTCATCAGGGGGAGGCACATACGCGCTGTACTCTTTTTCCCTTAGCTAAGATTTAATCCCAGTAAGTTTTCCTGGCAAGGTTTTTAATGAGGCAGCAAGTAATGCGTATTACAATATATGTGTACTCTTTTCCTTCACTAGAATTTTTTTCCACTGGGTTTTTTGTCCTAGTAAGGTTTTAACAAGTCACATTATCTACAGACATCCAAAGGGGAGTGTTGTAAAATATTATAGTTATATTAGTAGATGACTATAACTTCTAAAGAAGTTACTCCTACTACTCTTCTCCATTATCTCCATAGCTCTCACTACTCCAATACTTATGGTTGTAACTCCCATGCTTCTATAACCTCCCCATGATCTTCTTCTATGGTCTCAAATGTTTAATTTCATGTTTATAGCATTCTTTTGTATACTTCTATGTAATCCTATAAATAAAGGTTTTGGTACCATATTATACACACTTGAAATATATAGAAGAAATAAAAAAGTTCCCTTTTCCTCTCTACATCTTTTGTCTATTTTATTGTTTCATATTATTTAATTTGAGCTTAGTTTCTTGACGGAAACAAAATAGTTTTGGTATCCAAAATAGAAACAAAACCAAATCTGTTTTCAAATAAGATTTTTATTTGCCAAGGATGAATTGTTATTTTGCTTAAATACACCCTTTTTCCCCTATTAATTGGGGAAAACACCCGTAAATAAACCCAACTCTGGTGTGGAAAAAAAAAGGACCGAACTCTGTCTCCACTCTTCAGCATCCCAATTTCTCTAGCGTCTCTCCTGAGATTCTCTGCCGCTGCAATAAGGACCCACCGTCGCCGTTACCGGATCCGGCCGCGAAATTTGAATACCCATTTTAGGTAATTTCGTAGTCCAATTTTCGGTACGTTGTTTTCGTCTAGTTTTTGCAGTAAAGGTGATTACTTAATGAAAATTTAAAGGTTGTATTAAATTGAATTGTTATTCAGATGATAATTTTAGCTGTTGGATTGGTCTCCTTTCTCTTTTTTGTTTGTTCAATGGGTTTCATTTGTCTGCTGAGTTTGTGAACTATAACATGAATAAAGTTGATGCGGAAAAAATGGGACATTTTTTTAAGCAGTAAATATGGAGGAGTAGTATTTTCAACTTACTTGATACAGAGTCACTCTTGATGTCTAGATCCGGTAGCCATCACATATAATCCCAAGGGAAGAACATTGTGGGGGTTCTGACAGTGGCAATCAAACAAGAACTTGATGAGCCAAATCTGTTTACAAAAAAAAGAAAAAAGAGAACTTTTTGAATCAATATATCTCAGGTCCCGTGATAACTTAGGATTAGTGATGATATGGTTGATGTGATATCTCAAAACTGGAATTTGATGGTATATTTATAGGGTGTATGTGGGAACTCACTAATGAAGTTAAAAAGTTTGGGAAATGAAATATTGTGTGGTTTAGGCTAATATGGCGATGATGCCTCTGGTCCTTGTGATGAAAGAAGACTAAAGCAGAAGGAAATTTTAAGCATGGTGAAAGGCGGTTCCCTTTGGTTATTCAGCTTCGGGGAACTTTGTTTGAACTTCCTGTTTATCATATTTTCTGTCCTCTCTTATTGGTCAATTACTCTGCAAACACTGAAAGAAGAGAAGGCACTTAAGGTTACCGTGAAAGCTAATTGCATATAGCTGCTTCTTACCTTTCTCCACTTAATACCAAGGTATTCCCTTGTAAGTGATCTCGCATGCTTAAGTTTATACCTCTCTGTCAACTACTTGCTAGCTCTGAAATATAAGATTGTCCTGGCATGGCACTGATTGTTGACCCCTCCTATGGTGTTGCTTTGTTAAATTTAGTCCATCATTATAAGATTGCCAGATTAAGATGCAGAGCATTTTACTTTTCAGTGCCATGTAAAGGCAACTGATCTGAAGTCAGCTATAAACTTTCTCAATCTTGTAATGAGTATTATTGATTGGTGCCTGATCTTTATGCATAAAGGGGTACCTTGCTTGCATTTCTTGGCGCATTCTTTGTTGTTGAATTTTGTTTTTTCATGCATGCCAAGTCAAGCAAAATGCTGTAGGATAGGATACCAGGCCTCGCTCACTCAAATTATCTGTCTAATTTCATTTCTATTGTAACCTCAGATAATTGAAAACCACATTACAGTAATCATGTTTTTGTTGGCTGCTAAGTGTTTATTCATGCTTCTGTGGTGCTAAGTTGTTTTAGATGTTTGTACATTGGTTCACTGCTAAAATTCTCTCTTTCTGACAGATGAACTGGGCTGTTCTCTGTCAGTGGCTTCTATATAGAAACAATAAGGGCCTAGGACGCACATTGTAACAGCAAGCTAGACAGTCTAGTAATTTGTGTGGTTGTTTGATGGTCAGCAGTCAAGCATCCTACTGACGTTCTTCCCTGCTGGTCATCATTTTTATTTCTTCTCTATGGGCAGGGAGTGAATTGAGTGAGAGGCATACTGAAGGATGTGAGTTGAAGTCCTGCAGATCAATTGGGAAAAATTCCAAAGGCCGTCTTTTATAGTTTTTGAACTTGCCCCAGTGCTTTTTGGTTCAATGACAGAGTTAATGCAGTGTGCGATATGTGGTAGGTGCTCATTATTAGTTTGAATCTTAGCTAGTGAAGCAAGTTTGATTTTTAAGTGGAGAAGGGTAGAGGGTGGACACATTATCCATCACAGTTTCGAAGTTGGGAAAAAATAGATTTTGCGGTTATTAGAATAAAGTTCAAAATTCTTTGTATGCGATCTAATTCTGTGCATGCAATCTTATTGTACCAAAGATTTTTTGATACAGGGTGCCATGATTTCGAGCAGCAACTTCATTCATAAGACTCACTATGAGATCCTGGGTGTGAAGGAAGATGCAGATTTTGAAGAAATCCGTAAAGCCTATCGGTCAGCCATACTTTGTTTTCATCCCGACAAGCAACAAAAGCCATCAGAAACATCCAATTTTGAGTGTCTGACAGAAAACAAATTTTTAGAGATACAGAGAGCTTGGGAAACCCTTGGCAACCCGAGGTCACGTGCACTTTATGACAGTGAATTGCTAGTTTTGAGACAGGATGTAGCAATTGCTGAAGATGTTAGCTTAGAGGACCTTACAGTTCAAGATTCTGGTGATATTATAGAGCTTTCTTGTCCTTGTAGATGTGGTGACTACTACTTTATTGATTCTTTTGAATTGGCTGACACGGGTTGTTCCATATCCAGAGACGGGTGTACAGTCTCTTTGCTGACATCTAAATCTTTGCCAGCATCTATTGTGCTTCCTTGTGGATCTTGCTCACTTAAAGTTCGCCTACTGATTAATGGCGATACTAGGCTTCACAAAGATGTTCACTTGTAATTGTGACTAGTTGGAAAACATTATTCTCTACAATATTTTTGCAAAACTTTTGGAAATTCAAATGACAAGGAAAAATGGGAAGTCTGAAATTTCTTGTGCTTTTTTATTTTTTTGGGTTACTTCTGAAATGGTTGGTAGGCTACATGACAGCCATTTTTCTGTTATTTATATCCTTCATCATTAAAGTACTTGGAGCAATTGAGTTCAGGTATCTAAGGTCAGCTGCTTAATGTCTTCCTTTAGTTAGTAGCATAAAAATGGCATGAGTCCTTAAAACAGTTGACTTATTAAGGGTCTCTAAGAAGGATGAGTCGCATTATTAAAGACACATGATTTTAAAGAAGTAGGACTCAGTCTTCCCTCTTCTCACATTAAAATGCTTTAGTTTAAAGTAGTGTCAATTAAGAAATTAACATTATTTACTTTATGTTCCTCGGTATCCTTGCAAAGGTGGTCTACAGTTTAAGCATTTGAATCAGTTCCTTCACTTCTTGTACTACCTTTTGGACCTTTTATTAAGAAGATTCAAAATTGTTGTGTCATCTGTTCAAGCCATGGAAATAGTCTCTTTCAGAAATGCAATGTAAGGCTGCATACATAAGACCCAATGTGATCCGGCCCTTCCTAGGATCCCGTGCATAGCAGGAACTCAGTGCATCAGGCTGCCCCACTGTTCTTCAAATTTGTTGAAGTAATATGTTGTAGCAACTGGGCTAAGTTTTTACAGGAAAGGCTACAAACGGAAAAACATAGAACATACAGTTCCCAGTTGCAAAAATTCCTGGTCCCAATTGTTGTGTCTAGTAATTGTATTCTAAAATAACTAATGAAACTTTTGATGTCGCCCAAGATTTCCAATTACTGCCCCCATGGAGTTGAGTCGTGTCTCAGTCCCAACATGGCTGATCATCCGAAAAAATCAGTTGAACACCATTGGCTTGGTCCCTTTACCTGACCGACTACTACTAGGACCGGCTCATCAAACAACGCTTTTTGGCTTTTTTCAAGATTTAGCTTGAACAATTCGGCAAATTTTCACGAGTTACCACATGTTCGTCACTTTGTTCTCAACTCTTACCTCCTAGGCGTACAGTTTTATAGCGGGCATTTCCGGAAAGGGCATGAAAAAGGACATATTGAGTTTAATATCCATGTCAAATAGTCTTTTAACCAGACAAACATTTTTGCAAAGTTGCATAAACACTTTTGTGTAGACATAACTGGTTCAATGATAAAATGAAAATTTTCTTACACTGTATTCCAGTCAAGAAATATGAATGGATCTGCAAGTAGTCATTGTTTGGCACCATGTCCTTTTTCACCCTTAACTTCAGTCTGAAGTGAAAGTAACTCACCACAAATTTAGCATCTTGCCCATGCCAAGGAAACACCAAGTTACTTGTATAGTTGTATGCAATAAGAAATTCAATGTCCATTGCTTTCGCTTCAGAAATACCTTGCAGGTTCCATTGCTGAAGTCTTCACCCTAAAGATTAAAACCTCATATTTTCAGAGAAGATGGAAGGCCCCTTTCAAGCAGGAATTTCAAATGGGAAATCATAATAGAGATGAGTTAGATGACTAACAAGGAATTTACTTCTGTTTGGGGTAACTTTTCACCTACAACTCTCATCAAGAAATTTCAGCATGGGATTCTCTTTTAATCAAGACTCTTCAAATACTTCCAAGAGATTCAAATTCCTTGCCTCAACCCTTAAGGATGCATTTGCTAGCTGTCATTCTTTTCGGAAAAATTCACATTCAAGTGCAGAAGAAGATGATCCGATTTGCGACTATGATAATGAAGATGAAGTACTTATTTAAAGCAGCCACGTAATTCTTCTAAGTTCAATGCTATTAACTTCTGATTTACTCATATTTTCTGAATGCTGTTTCGCGGTTTTATCAGCAGGTATTTATATCAGCAGTGATAAGTAAATATATGGAGTTGAAATGCAGAAGAAAGACAAACATCTCAACTGAAAAGTTTACCTGGGCATTCTCTCCAACAACAGGAGATTTATTCATCTCTGCAAGACTAAGGCAAAAGGAGGACAATGAGGATCAAGAAAAGGAAGAAAGCGAAGATTTTTACTCTGTTGCTAGTCGTCTTTCTCCCTGCTCAAGTTCTACAGGTTTTGAGGCATTTGTCACAGCTAAAACAATCTTTTCTCGTTCTTCAAGCTTAGACAGGATTGACTTCCAAGATCTCTGGACGCATTCTATTATTCAGGAATTCTCTCACTGTGAAGGATGGCCATTTGGCCTATACCGAAAAGCCTTGTTACTTCCACCTTTGCCAAAATCACCATCTGATTCTTGGTCATGGCGCAAGAGTGCTGGAACGGTTAGGATGCATTGATTGCTGGCATTTTAAATGAGTTATTTCTTGTAGGCAAAGTAACTTTGCATTTTCTATGGAGAAAGGATGCTGATCTTAGGTTTATGCATGAATTATGTTATTTGCTAATGGTATAATCTTTGCATAATTGAGGACAGCTTTTTTAATATCATTCCATCTTCTCAGACCAACACTTTTAATATTATTTGACATACAATAATTTCTATATGTCTGTTATGAATCTGCACCCTCTGAGAGTTTATTAACCAAACAGATTTGGCCCCAAGGAATTCTAAGAATTCTTGTTATACATTTGTTCCAATCCTCAATCCTCTTTTCTAGATTCATGGATGTTGAATCAATCGAACCCACTTCTAACACATGTTCTACTTTTGAAAGACGTTGTGTTATATCACCAAATCTCGATTTTTCATATATAAATGTAACTAATGTATCTCCTTCCAAAGAGTTTCCCTATAATGGCAGGCTTAGCTGATCGTATTACTATCGAGTCAACTTGAGCAAGTATAAGTTGACTCGGTTTGAGGGGCGGTCCATTTTTGGCTGTACATACATTTGAACAAATAAACTGTCCAAATTAGAGATATCTCTTCACAATAATTGCGATGGAAAAAATACCAATTCAAATTGAGTGGATCAAAAATAGTGTTACGACATGGACCGGATTACAAAAATTCTATATTCATCCATTAAATAATATTTAAATTTAATCACTTGAAAAGTCTATTTTAAATTGTCAAGGGGCAAATGGTTAGTTATAATATCTCATTATGGGTTATTAAATGGTAAGATGAATTAGAATTATCAATTGGAAAGGATGTTCCTAAAAGGGCCCAATGAATTCCTAATTGTAATTAGAGGATCTTTTTTAGTTGATTCTTTTATCACATTGTGATATTTTACATCCTTGAATGGCCCCATTCGAGAACAATTGGTTGCTGGGAAAATTATCAACGACTGACAATCCTTATTTCTACTTAATAGCGTATGAATAGTTCCTTGAGGTTGGTTAAGAGATTGTTGAATTTTTCCCTTGGATTAGGAATAAATGGAAGAAAAAGGGTTGATATTGGTACAATCTGATCCATTATCAGAGAGAAATCTTGACCCTGACGGATCACTCCTTTTCTCGATATATGAAATATGGGATTTCACTAAGTTGATTCTTAGAAAATATTAAATCAAAACATTTGTTCTTATTTCAACAAAAAAAGCTTATGTTTCTCTGCAAGAAAAACTTTTTTTGTCTTGGTTCCAATTCAATACTAAATAAGTCCGAACTAATTAAATATCTGTGTCAGAAATTCCTCGAATCGGTTTGCCATTTCAATAAAGGATATAATTGACAATTGGAAGTTGCACATTATCCCTTTCCTACAATGGATCCGGTGAAAAAATGGTTGCTAAATTTTTACTGTCCGTCAGTGTTATCAAAGGCGAAAAGTGCAAAAAAGCTCTAAGGTTCGTTGTGGCTTTAAGCGCAAAGCGCAAATAAAGCGTGGGCTTTAATGAAAAAAGCGCAACTGGATAAAAAGTAAAAATATGTGTATGTAGTCCAACACTAATAATTATAAGGATGAATAACAAATATATGGACAAAGAAATTGGAAAAAAATTACGAGAAAGTGAAATATCAATTGTTTAATGTCACATTTTCATGATTACACTCATGGGCAAGGAAAAAGTATGCCTTAGAGCCTTGATGAGACACTAAAGCGCACACAAAGCGAGGCAAAGCGCTCAACATGTTTTGAACCTCGCTTCAGGGCTTAAGCACGCTTTGAGCACGCCTTTGACAACATTGTTGTCTGTTACTTCATATGTGACGACAAGTCTAACTAAAGCAAAACTCTTTCTTGTTAGGTGTAATCTATTGGACATAGATCCAATTTTTTACTTTTTTGGATTCCCTGGAATTTCTTTTTCCTCTTCCTGGTGGTATCAAAACGTCGTTATGTCGGGATATCTTATCTGTCTCTCCAGAAAAATGGATATCTCTAGAAAAGATTTTACGTTCAATTTTTTTTCCCTCTCCGGACCAACCCACCGATTCAGCCTTTTAGATTTAAGGTGATTTGTCTATCTACCCAATAATAATACTATTCCACACCATTATGGAAGAAGATCCGGACGAGATATGCACCATTTCAGGGATGAAAAAAAATCGATCTACTTTCATTTGGTATTTTGACCTAAATTCCTTGATTCCTCGATACTCAATCAAATCATCTTTTTTTATGATCGAATATATTTTTGTAGTCTCATATCCAATAATGCCTCAACTCTTTCTTCTGTATTGAAGATCATCGAAATAAGCAAGAATACTAGTTCGACGAAAAATATCATTTATGGGAATTTCAATCGAAATACCTGAACAAGGCATTAGATCATTCTTGAGTTCTTGAATCGAGTGTAGTGGAATGATGAATTTTTTTTTTTTTTGCCTTTCTAACAATAAATTAGAATTCTCGTGGAGAATAGGTGAATATACAAGATTATACTGACCTGCACACATTATTCAATTAAGGTTTGAATAATCAGGAATCCTATCTCCTTGTTTACTAGAAAATTCCGAACTAAATAATTTCTGCCTCGCCTGATCATTGGTTACTGAGAAGTTAGAAGTATATCTTTGCTTGCCAGAAAGAGAATATGCATTAATTGGATCATGATCCTTGTGGATCAAAAGGTAGACTAGACTGGACCTGCACAACCTTCCTAGTAATATCCATAAATGACTTGTTTTTGGTAATAGATGAACACTACCGATGTAAATTCAAGTACATGATAGACATCAGTACTCCGATGCATTTCTCCGTTTGAATCAAAATAAATATGTTTTCAAGCCTTCTCTTTAAAATTCAAAGTGGATATTCCTGCACGAGTCACATTGTATAGAATATCTTCTCTCAATAGTTATATACAAGTCTATAGAACATAAAAAAGAGGGATGCTCATGACATATACGTTTTAAATGAACCAAAATCCTCATTGAATTTTATTTTTTCATTAGATGGGGCTCGCACATATTCTGCAGCACCCCCGGAAATACTCCTCCGGTATGAAAAGTTCTTAATGTTAATTGCGCACCCAATTTTCCAATCGATTGACCTGCAATAATACCTACATGTTCAAAATTTTATTGTTAATCCACCCTTTTTGTGTCTCAATTTGCTCAACAGGCATAGTTACTCATTATCCACACTAGTGTCAATCAAACATGTTCATAGATTCAGTTTGTTCAATTGAACAAAAAAGAGATAAAAGTGAACTGGGTGCCACACAGTGCCATGTTCAATAACCAATCAAGAAAAATTAAACCAGTGGACCTGATTCACCAGTCAACAGGAATCGATTGACATAAAACCCTATCTTCTGAATACTGAATGCTCCGGAAACTATCTCCTTGAAGAATAGTATCATCTGTGTATTCCTGCTATCACATCATCATAACTTACGAAAGAATAGTGCAGTTTAATGGATCAAATTGATGCAGCCTGTATTATCAAAATATTTCCTTTTCTCTTTCCAGGAAAATGTTACACAAGTAACTTAAAGATGAAACACTCCCAACTTTCAGCCATCTGTGAAGGTCTATGCTCAACATAGGAACCAGTGATAAGCCACGTATCTTCCATATTTATTCAAGGAGGAAGAAGCAAAGAAATGTAGGAGAAGATAATGATTTGCTTCTCAAATTTCTGGAGCTTTCAGACATGGAAAATTAAGCAGTTATCTGTTAGCAGTTTATTATGGTTACTAGAAGTTATCTGTCTTTATCCTAACTTGGTTATGGAGTAGTTATTGTCAGCCTCTATATAAATAATAGATCTAGTAATATGTAAGTGGGTTGTAATTATCCTTTATATGCAGTCAGACTATCTGTGAGCTACGAGATGCTTGTGTCTCTCTATTATCAATAATATCAGTGTATTTTCTATCTCTTTTTCCATTATTAAATCTCTATTCATATCATTGGTATCAGAGCAGTAAGATCCGCCATGGTGAACACACGGACCAACACTTCCCAAAGCGAACCCATCATTCCGACTCTTGATCCAATCGCCCAACAATTGACGACTATAGCAGCGAAACTGGAGGCCATTGATGCTTTGGTCGCTGATGTTGTTGTCTTAAAGGCACATAATAGAGAGACACAAGCATCTCGTATCTCACAGATAGTCTGACTGCATATAAAGGATAATTACAACCCACTTACATATTACTAGATTTATTATTTATATAGAGGCTGGCAATAACTACTCCATAACCAAGTTAGGATAAAGACAGATAACTTCTAGTAACCATAATAAACTGCTAACAGATAACTTGTTATCTTCTAATAACGGTAAGTAACTGCTTAATTTTCCATGTCTGAAAGCTCTAGAAATTTGAGAAGCAAATCATTATCTTCTCCTACATTTCTTTGCTTCTTCCTCCTTGAATAAGTAAGGAAGATACGTGGCTTATCAACCAGCAAGTCCCGAAGTCCCAAGAACTGTAACCTGGAGTGAGAAAGCCAGAACGCATTCTGAGAAAACAAATAATGGTAAAGCTAAATTCTTCAGGAGATCTCATATCAATGTCAATTAAGCTCGAGCAAGAAAGTAAACAAATCACGATTTACAACCAAATAGGCTACTTCCGTTAGTATGATAAATTTAGCATAACAACAAAATGATACGACTTTTTCTACATAACAAAGCTACCATTTGATCCGTGTTATCAAAGGCGAAAAGTGCAAACAAGATCTAAGGTCTCTTGGTGCTTTAAGCGCAAATAAAGTGTGGGCTTCAATAAAGAAACGCGCAAATGGAGAAAAACTACAAATATGAAAGTGTAGTCCAAGACTAATATCTTTAAGCATAAATACCAAATATATAGACAAAGAGATTGAAGAAAATTTACGATAAAGTGTATATCAATTGTTTAGCGTTGTTGCCTAGGAAAATCATGCCTTAGAGCCTTGATGACAACACCGAAGCGCCCGCTAAGCGATGTGAAGTACTCAACATGTTTTACGCCTCGCTCTAGGGCTTAAGAGCGCTTTAAGTGCGCCTTTGATAACACTGCATCTGATTATGTTTACAAATAAGATTTTGGTCAGGGAAATGCATAAATAGTTAAAATAGTGAAATATAACACAAATCTGGCAGGGAATATTTGAAAAAAGTATGGTCAGGAAAACTAATCGAAATAAGAAATATTGCTTATGAAGAAGACCTTACCTATTCACAGAAAAATTGAAATAAGTGGGAACCAACAAGCAGAAAATTAGACGGTACCTTTCCCCATTGAGAATCAAGGCCACTGCATCTCATCTTCAAGTGTATCATCTTTGTTCCCAGTTCCATCTCAACTTTCTTCTTCAAGTATCCCTCCTCTGACCCAAAAGCACTCAAGTAGGTGATGTAACGTTGGTATACCATGTGAAATGCATCAGAGAGCTCTTTTGACATAGGCCTCACATTCTGCAGCAATAAAAAAATTAAAGAGCAAGAACTTGAGAAAATGTGAATAAAGTCCCTTGCTCAGTAAACTCGTCTTACCTCACCACTTAAGCCAATTGCATCATCAAGCTCCATTTTCAGAGACGTGAGAATCCCAGTAAAGTCCTCCACTGCTTCTGCTGCACGGAAAACATTAATCAAGGCTTCTTGGCCTTCCTTGTCATCAGTATTTTTAGTCAATGCATGCTCTGCATCACCGACAACTGCATTTGGGAGCTCATCCCAGCTTGAAGCCATTAAGTCCTTAAAAGCACGTTTGACCTCTGGATCTTTTATGTCTGGCATGTGGGCTGAATCCTCACAGAAAGAACGTGTGCTTCCGATTGCTATTGTCAAAGGATGCCGCAATTCGGGAATGTAGCAAAATCCATTATGTTTCAATTTAGTGAGCAAGATCCAGAAAATTATAAACCCTACTCACATCTGATCAGTAAGCCGCTTCATGATATGTGATCCAGAAATTATAAATTCCATTTTTGAAACCCTTGGGAAATTAATAGTATGAGGACCTTTCTACCGATTAAATCCTAAATAGATTGTAATAACCCTCACTCTAAGTTATGTTCTCCAAAATCCAACCAAGGAGGCAGCACTGGTACATTTATTTGCACTCACATACTCCGACTAGTCAGAGGGTGAGTGAGCCAAATATTTACCAAAACCATGCTCAAGCCTGCCAAGACCAAATTTTTGTTGTGGGATAATGTCATGCTCAGAAATTCGTTTGTCCTAGAAACTAGCAAAAACTGTCAAAATTATATAAGCTCAATTAGCATTCGTAGTTGGAAAAAATATGCCTGCTGCAATCAGAAATTAGAGAGCAGAAGCACAAATCTAAAAGAGAAATGATCCCTAAAAGTAACCAGCATTATTATAATTATCATTAAAGGAATGGGAACAAAGTTGCAGTCTAAAAGTGGCATGTCACACCTTGCATATTTAGGTGCTCCCCTTCTCTAGATTCCCCTCTCCCACTAATCACGGGCCATACTGCACCCCAAATTTTTCCTCAAAAAGGAAAATTAAATAAACTTGAGATTGAGAATTAAACATCTAAGTGAAAATAAGAGCAACGAAATGATAGAGCATTAAAATTCCTTTTTCATATTTCCAATCAAACGTATGACTAATGTGTCTCAACTCTCATAGCAAGAGAAAGCTAATAATCAGTAAAATCAAACTTAAGATCTTTTATGTTACAATCAAACCAAGAAGCAATGCACTATAATCTCGTCAGAAAATCCCTTCCAATTCAGATATCATATCGAAATATAACCACTAATTCTACATCATCAATCAACCAATTGCGCCTCAATCCTAAACGTTACTATATGAATCACAGCTTGAGTATTTCTAAGCAGCTATGCAACCTACCACGACCCTATTTCTATATAAGCTTGAGACCTACTATATTTTGTGAAACTCACATAGGGAGACAGGGATTCAACTTCTTACTGCAACAACTATCCCTTAATCTCAAACTAGCTAGGGTCGCCTATATGAATACTCATATCCACTCTTCTCCATTTGGACCATGAATTTTACTTCTTACCATAAATACTGAGTATCCGACACCACAAACTAGTTGGCATTTACTACTATATGATTCCTAGTTCAACTATGTCTATACCTGGGCATCAATCTACCTCAACCCTCCTTTTCTATACGGGCTTATCGAACAAAATATTGGATCAAACTGTACCAATTTCTAATAAGGGGTATTACTCAATTTTGTACTCGTTGTTTTATTTTCCAATTAGTTCTTCAATTAAGAAAAGGATCAAACATTCATCTTATTACAGCAACAACTATATCTCAATCTCAAACAATCATGATCAGCTATATGAATCATCAACATCCATTTGGACAATATATTCAACTTCTTACAATAAAAAGATTTTAAAACTTATCCTTTACCAATTTGAGCATAATAAAAAATACGATCTTGAAATTGGGTATGTAGAAGAACATGGGGAATATAAGCAGATACTGAACTACATACAAAAAAAAAGAGACGAAAATGCTAGTACCACGAAAAGGCTACCATAAATTCACCTTCTTACAGTTAAAAGATAAAAATAAAAAATAAAAAATAAAAAATAAAAAGCGTAGGCATTTACCAATATTTGAGCAGAACAAAAATACGATCTTTTTATTGAGTATGTACAGGAAATGCAAATATAAGCAGATACTGAAGTATATAAAACGTAAAAAGTTGGAATTACTAGTACCGTGAAAAGGGCTTTTAGGAGAAGCTGGAAAATTCGGGGATGAGAAATGAAGGTGTCGATGGGAGTGGTGGTTGACGGCGGTAGTTGCGGCGGCGGAAATCGAGAAAGCTGAAGATCTACGACATATGGAACGATATAACGATTGTCTCAATATCAGTTTCTGCATCTTTTTTTTCGCTATCTTCTTCTTTGGTTTCCTTTTGTTTTCCCTGCTTTGAGATTTTTGTAAGTGTCGCTTGATGACCAGATTGAAATTTTCCCAGTCCCAGTGACCTAACTTAAACAAACGACAAAAATAGTCTCTTGTGTTTTGAAGAAGATTCAGAATGATCCCTTAACTATATTCATGAGCACTTTTGGTCCTCTATTTTAGCAAAAAGTAAACACTTTAGATCTCCATCAAATATTTAAGACTTTTGTTTAAGCACTAATTTACTACAACAATAACAACAACAACCCAGTATAATCCTACTAGTAGGGTCTGGGAAGGGTAGTATGTACGCAAACCTTAACCCTACTCTGGGGTAAAAAAGTTGTTTCCAATAGACCTTCGCCATCCTTCTATCCAAAAATTTCCCACCTTGCTCTTGGGGTGACTCAAAATCACAACCTCTTGGTTGGAAGGGGAGGGTACTTATCACTAGAGCAACCCACTAATGTACTAGTAATAGGGTCGTTTGGTAGGGCGTATAAGAATAATGCTAAATAAGGTGCATTAGTAATGCAAGGGTTAGTAATGTAGGGGTTAGTAATGCAAGCATTAGTTATATAGAGATTATTTCTTATGCATTGTTTGGTGTGGTGTATTAAAAATTAAAATGCATTCCATAATTTTTTAAGAAATTTAATTGTTTACAAAAATGCCCTCAATATTCTTTAACTTAAGGGACTTTAAGGATAATTTTGTCTTTAATCATGCTAAAGCATGCATTAATAGCCTTTGTATAGTTAATGCCATGTTTTTCTATGCATTAGCTATACATACGATAATACCAAATAGAGTGTATAACTAATGCTTGTATTAGTTATACATAGGTTGAAAAAGTGTACCAAACAAAACATTACTAACACACAAAGCTAATGCATGCATTATTTTCTCTAACACACTCTACCAAACGACCTCTAAAACTTTAGTGCTCAAATTTTTTATTTAAGCACTAGCATTAATACTTTAGCCTTGCATCGAAGTGCAAGTCTAATACTCTACTGTTTTAAACATGCCAATCACAGTATTTTTTTAGGTTTGAATTGGCTATAATATTTGATATAGTAAATAAAATATAGAATGTGTTATAAATATATTATGGATGTTCATTTAGTACTCCGTTGTAAATAAGCTTCCTGAAGAAGCTTATCCATATGGGACTTCACCGTAAATATGTTTATCTATTTAGTACTCTATTGGAAATAAGCTTTCTGAAGAAGCTTATCACTTCGGTACCCGGTTATGGATAAATATTACCCCTGGTAGAAGATTATCCTTACCGGGTATAATACTCTTATCATTTCAGTACCCAGTTATGGATAAACATTACCCCCGATAGAAGATTATCCATACCGGTATAATAAGCTTATCCTTTCAGTACCCAATTATGGATAAACATTACCCCCAGTAGAAGATTATCCATATCAGGTATAATAAGCTTATCCTTTCAGTACTCCGTTATGGATAAACATTGCTCTCAGTAGAAAATTATCCATATATGGTATAGTAGCAGCTTACACAACAGCTTCCTTTCTTCTATAAATAGAAGAGATTTCAGTTCATTATGTATATCAGTTTGAATTCGAATAATATATCAGTTTCTCTCTATACTTGTCTTTACTTTATAATCTTTATTTTATAACACGTTATCAGCACGAGACTCTGCCATCTCGAGCAAATATTTTGAAAGTATCTGAGGTAAGAACTTTCTTTTCCTAAATAATGTCAAATCTTTCTAAACTTGAATTTGTAGCCCTGGATATATCGGGCAAAAGCTACATGTCTTGGGTGCTTGATGCTGAAATTCATCTTGATGCGATGGGTCTGGCAGACACCATCAAGGATAAAAATCAGGCATCAAACCAAGACCGTGCCAAAGCAATGATATTCCTACGCCATCACCTTGATGAGGGCCTGAAAATGGAATATCTCACTATTAAAGATCCAGTCATACTGTGGAATAATTTGAAAGATAGATATGACCACCTGAAGATGGTCGTTCTTCCACAGGCACGTTATGATTGGACTCATCTAAGGCTACAAGATTTTAAATCTATCAGTGAGTATAATTCTGCTATGTTCAGAATTATTTCCCAATTAAAATTATGTGGTGATAATATTACTGATCATGATATGTTGGAGAAAACTTTCACCACTTTTCATGCCTCGAATATGCTCCTGCAGCAGCAATATCGAGAGATGGGATTTAAAAAGTATTCTGAACTTATCTCACATCTTCTTATAGCAGAGCAACATAATGGGCTATTAATGAAAAATCATGAAAGCCGACCTATTGGTTCTTGTCCATTCCCTGAAGTGAATGAGACGAACTTCCACCAAGCTAAACGTGGAAGAGGTCGTGGCCCCAGTCGTGGTCATGGCCGTGGTCGGGGAAGAAACCCCAATCATGGTAATAATAATGCACCAAAGAAGCCTCCTCACCACCAGCAGTGGAAAAGGAAGGAACAAAAGCATGAAGCGGTGCAAGCGCCAAATGCAGAAAATGCATGCTATAGATGTGGAGGAAAAGGGCACTGGTCACGTACTTGTCGTACGCCAAAGCACCTGGTTGAGCTTTATCAAGCCTCCCTGAAGAAGACAGAGAAAAATGCTGAAGCAAATTTTATTTCTGAAGATAATTTAGACTTCATGCATTTGGATGTAGCTGATTACTTTGCACTCCCAGAAGGAGAAACAAGTCATGTAATCGGTGGTGAATCTGTAGAAATGTAAATATTTTAATTTCTGTTATTTGTAATAGATAGTATGGTTATGTAATTGTTGTACATAAAGAAAAATTATGATTTGATAATGATGTTTACTATAATATATCTTATTTATGTCATTTTAAAGAATATGGATAATATTATTAGATCAACTTAAACTCTAGCAGAGTTTGCAAGAAATATACAACCACCAGAAGTAGTTATATTTCATACATCTCATTGTAATTATATTTTGTTAACCACCAGAAGTGGTATATGTCTATGATCACCAGAAGTGATAATTTAGGCTTTCTATAGTTACAATTGAAGATAAGCTACATAAATATTCTCTATATTAAATGCACGCCTCGATTTGCTCCTGAAGTAGTAAATATTTTAAAAGAGGTTGAGGCATCACAATTTGATGTGATTAATGCGCATTCAGATAATTATGTTCGATTTCCTGAAGGATGAGAACTTTTGATAATATTAATCCATTCCCTGAAGTGAATGTGACAATACTAATAAGTCGGGTAAATATGAACGCGCTCTTGATGTGAATACATTACAATTCACCTCCAGAAGAGTTAATATAATTGAGAGAATATATACTCAATATTTCGTATTTTAAATTTGCTCCTGAAGAAGTAACACAATTGAAATTGCCTCCTGAAGTGGAAAAATATTATGAAGAAGAGTTTTCGTGTGCTTAAACAATTGTTTTACATTGTTTATTTGATTGTGATTTTCTCTCATGACACCAGCAGTGTCTGAGCAATATTTGATAGTACAAAATGTATCAACAACTCCTGAAGAGCTAAATGTTTGCCTAAAGAATACATGACACCAGTAGTGCCAGATAAATATTAGATTGTGGATAATAAATTAAGGCTCTCGAAGAGCTTATATACAAATATGTCATTCATATTATATGATTATGGTCAAAACATATGTTGTAGTAAACCTGAAGTTTACTAATACAAATGGCTATCATATTGAGACTACAAATGATTGGAAGATTGATAATCTTCATGTTTCCACAATCATAGGGGGTAAAATAATATGTATGTGAGAAGTTACCCGCCTTATTCTTTAATTTGTACTATATCATGTATCACAGTAAACCAGAAGTTTACTAAAGCAAAAATTTATGCCATAGTAAACCAGAAGTTTACTAAGAGATAGCACATGACATGATAAACTTGAAGTTTTCATTTGCCATTTTTAAATGAGCTATTTGAGAATTCAGATAAGCATATACTAAAGAACTAGAAGATTCTTCAGGAATTCTCATGTGTTGCTTGTTCTCATAATGAATTGATTATACCAGCTAAAGTTGGGACTAAGACCCCTGATTCTGAAATATATAAAAGGTGAATATGGGCCCGTTCACCTATCATGTGAACCACTTATAGGTGCATATATGAGATGGTTACATGTGTAATTATTGTCAACCTGCAGTTTGGCATTTGGAATTGCTTTTCTCGATTAAGAGCATAATTTTCAGATTATGAAATCAAGACAGTTCATCTTGATAATGCTGGTTTATATCCAAGCTGGTTTAGCATTGAATACCTCCTATTAATGGCTAAACCATTGCTTATGAGAACAAAGCTTCATGTGTTGGTCTAAGATTTTCTAAATTGCATATAGCAGCACTTGTATGCATCAGATCAACAATATATGATAAGTCCTCCCTTCACAATTGGTTTAGGATCAGAAACCAAATATTTTTACTATCTTTTGTTGCGTGGTATATGATTAATTTCTCTACCATAATACACAAAGATATGTTTCCCAAAGATGATTGGGGATATATGTTAGTTTTTCTAACATTTGGGGGATGGAATAAACAGTTGAAAAATATGCTATATGAATCGAATTATCATGATCCTCACTTAGAAGATAATTCAAGTCGAATGCCAGAAGCATTTGCTGATCCAAAATTAAATATCATATTTCAGCTGCAAATGCTCCTATTAAAATTAAAGTCCCTGAAGGATAGAGTTTACTGTACGCATGAAGCGTGGTAGACCAATCGGTTCCAAAGGTAACAATCCTTGAAAAATAGTAGGAGCTAATGATCAAAATGATCATAATGAGGAGGAAATATGCTCTAGAAGAGCCCACGACATAACATTTCATGAAACTCCCGAAAAAGTTCAGGTACCTGAAAATAAAGAAAGTGATGAGATCTCCACAAGTTATGTCGCTTCGGAACTGACACAAAATGATCGTCGACGATATATTTAATACAATATAGTGCACAATATTGTAAAAGATTGTGAGGATCGGACTAGCAGTCCAGACACTTGAAGATGTCATACCATTTAGATACAAGTCTTAACCTATATGACTTATTTGGCTAAATCTATATGAAGATCCTTGAAGGATTGAAAATGCCCGAAGCATATAATTCAAAGTCTTGAGAAATGTACTCGATCAAATTATAAAGATCTTTGTACGGTTTAAAGCAATCTGTGCGCGTGTGGTATAATCGCCTCAGTAAATATTTGCTGAAAGAAAGTTACATAAATTATGTTATTTGTCCATGTATTTTTATAAAGAAAATGTCATAAAAATTTGTTACACTTGCTGTTTATGTTGGTGACATAAATCTTATTGGAACTCCGGAAGAGCTCCAAGAGGGTCTTAAAAATACTTTTACATGGACAAAGTGTACCCATTAAGTACACCAATGAATATTCAATCACTTGAAGTGAATAAGGATCCGTTCCAACCTCTAGAAGAGGATGAGGAGCTCCTTGGTCCTGAAATACTCTATCTCGGTGTAGATGGTGCACTTATTTATCTTGCTAATGCTAACAAAAGTGGTGCAGATCGTATTGGTAATGCAGATGCAGGTTATTTATCCGATACCCATAAAGCTCGATTTCAAACCGGCAAGCAGGGAGTGCATATGATTGAGATCAGTGATTCATTCGAGAAACATGTGGGTTGGAATGTGATAAAAGACCCACAATATTATACGGAGACAATGTTTCATGCATAGCACTATTAAAGGGAGGATTTATAAAAGGAGATAGAACGAAGAACATTTCACCAAAATTATTCTACATACATGATCTTCAGGAAAATTGTGACATTGATGTGCATCAAATTAGTTCAAGTGACAATCCAGCAGATTGTCTTTACCAACATCAATTTTTGAGAATATGGTATACAAGATTGGAATGCGGAGACTCAAATATTTGAAATAAGGTTTTCTTCAGGGGGAGTAAAATACGCGATGTACTCTTTTTCCCTTACTAAGGTTTTTCCCACAGGGTTTTCCTTATAAGGTTTTTAATGAGGCAGCCAGCAATGCGTATTACTAAATATGTGTACTCTTTTTCCTTCACTAGGATTTTTTTTCACGTGGTTTTTCCTAGTAAGGTTTTAATGAGGCACATTATCTTTTAATGAACATCCAAGGGGGAGTGTTATAAATATATTATATTATGGATGTTCATTTAGTACTCCGTTGTAAATAAGCTTCCTGAAGAAGCTTATCCATATGGGACTCCACCGTAAATATGTTTATCTATTTAAGTACTCTATTGGAAATAAGCTTCCTGAAGAAGCTTATCACTTCGATACCCGGTTATGGATAAACATTACCCCCGGTAGAAGATTATCCATACCGGGTATAATAAGCTTATCCTTTCAGTACTCCGTTATGGATAAACATTGCTCTCAGTAGAAGATTATCCATATCTGGTATTAGCAGCTTACACAACAACTTCCTTTCTTCTATAAATAGAAGAGATTTCAGTTCATTATGTACATCAATTTGAATTCGAATAATATATCAGTTTCTCTCTATACTTGTCTTTACTTTATAGTCTTTATTTTATAACAGAATGCAATTACTAAGAAAGACGGTTGATATAATACAAAAATAAATTTGAAATTGTTCTAGTAAGCTAGAGAATATTACATGAATGACTAAAAGCATTATACATCATAAATCCATAACAAGAAAAAGCCTAATGCTTAATCTAAAGAAAATGAGGCCTTTCTCTGTTGAAGAAATGAGCCAAATTCTTGATCAAATCTTTGGACTTTTGACACTGCAAATTATTCAAATGAAATACATGATCCACTCCTTCTGTTTCTTGGATCTCAACCACACCCATCCATCCGCTCCGACCCAATGCTTGATAGTAAGCCCAACCTCTATCCTTCAAAATATCCTTCTCCGCTACACTAATCAAGACTCTACGACAACCCAGACTCGTTAAGCTTGGTTCACCTTCTAACATCGGGTTAATTCTCGGGTCATCATTATCCGGATTCGAAGGACACGCAAAAGACCACAACCGGTCCACATGTGCCTTCTTATCCGGGTACAAGGCCTCCGACCCGATTGAACCCGACCCCCAAAAATATGGGTGGACTAAAGCAACACCAAGAATATCAACCATAAGCTCTGGCTCAACACTTCCAGCAGCCATTGCTAAATTATGAGCAATGTTAGCACCCGCACTGTCACCGGAGAGAAAAACACGCCCGAAATTCGCGTGTTCATTCAACCACGGCTCTTGACCATCGCCATTACAATGAGAAAAAACCCATTGAAGTGCTTGCCATGAATCTTCATAGGCAATAGGAAGAGGGTGTTCAGGTGGTCTTCTGTAATGAACAGAAACAGCGATGATTCGCGATTCGGACACGAGGGTGTTGAGGTAGTTATGATAGTTGGATGAAGATGGAGTGAACATACAAAAACCTCCACCATGGAAGTAAATAACAAGAGGTAGTTTTTGGTTGCCGAGAATGGAAATATTTGGGACATAAATACGAACATAGACTTCAGTATCAGGAATAATGTTTGATATATCTTTGGATGAAACTCCAGTTTGAGAATCAGGGCCTGCTGGAACTGAATCAATGCCTAAAAGTCTCTCAACATGGCCATTTTTGTAGACTCGAAGATATGGTAGGAACTCGTAATCCAGCTCTGCATTGCTCGCAGCCATTACCTTCGCCTTGAATTATATAGTTGATTTTTGCTTTCAAAATATATATTTACGTGATATCTACATTAATTTGTTACTACGGAGGTGTCTTTTGAGTGCAGTTGATGTTTGCTTTTATTTTTGTCCAGTTAAGCTAATATTGCCTAAGCCTAAATTTTTTATCTCCACAAGTTTTGATGAATTCTATTCTACTTAAGATAAGGTGATATTTGGTTTATTGTCTGCTTTTGGATCGTTGAAAATGACTTCCAATTTTGAAAGAGATAAGAAATATAGTGTAAATTGAGTGTTTGGCATCCACGTTTGTAACTCTAGACGCGCACCTTTGCTGGGTGCATGAATATATTCTTTTGTTTCTGTTTTCTGTCAATATTTATTTTTTCTAATTTCTGTTTCTGTTGGCAACTAATTCAATTCTTTTTATGTTTAAGGGATTGCTTAAAGCTGTATCAGAAGTGTTGCCTAAAAGTGAACATAGGTGGTGTGCCAGACATATATTAGCAAACTGGTCCAAAGATTGGAGAGGATTAGAGAGGAGAAACAACTTCTCGAGGTGTGCTAGAGCATCATGTGTAGCAGAACTGAATTTTCACTTGGACAGTTTGAATATGCTTGGGAATGGGATATGTGAGAGCCTC